ACAGGAAGCAGAGTTAGGCCAGAACCATGTAGTGAGCCCAGTGGGAGGAGAGCACCATCCCCTAGCCAGTCGTCCCTTTGATGGACTTACTAGGAGTCCTCACATCTTGCGACCATTCAAACTACCGTTACATGGATTGCCATGGCGGGGGAAGAGGCAGAGTGGGAGGGGGGCCAAGTCGCTGCATCATGGGCCTCTGTGTTGTACTTGCCCCCTGGGCTAAAAGTTGCCAGTCAGCCCCCTGCCTCAGAACGAGGCTTGCCTCCTGGAGGAAGGTCATGTGATCTCTAGAGTAGCCTCAGAACGAGGCTTGGCTCTCAGAAGGAAGAAGCCACTTGCTGCACAAAGGGTGGATATAGACTACTATTGAGAGGCGGTTAACCCTTTGTGGATAATATAGAATCAATTATATGTCCTGGTTGTCTAGTTATAGAGAACATTTATTTAATGTGCTGCCCATAGCAACTAGTCAACTGTGTATCAGGGACTTTACTCCTCAGTGTTTTCTTTAAAAAGGTCTGGGGCTGTCTAATAAATTGTGACCTTTACACTGACAGATACTTCAACATCAATATACAAATCTGATGTGTCTATATAAATAAATATATAATGTTATTATCATTATTATTTCTTTTATACTCTGACGACGGCCGCTGTAAAAAAAAAAAAAACAACAATAAGAAAGGGCACCTCCCTGAAATGAGACGGGAACCTCCCTGAAATAAGGTTTTGCAGGTTGGGATGTCTGTAATGCCAACCAATGACTTTAACACTTTTTAAGTCAGTTACCCAGAATAAGCATATGCTCAACACACAGAAGTAAGATCACAAGCATTTTCAAAAAGAGCTGCTTACATACAGTATATCTCTAGGTATAGGCATCCTTTTAGATTGATATAATCATGTGTTAAAATCATAGTTTTTACAATAACATAACAATCACAATAATGATTTCAGGCCACTCATGCTAGGTGGTATATAATTTACTATGCATTTATCGTACCTTCAATCCAGAAGAAGACTCAACACTGAATGATGTTTCAGTGAAATAGTTGGCATTGACTTTATTCACTGCTAAAGCCAAGTATTGAGAGGTCAAATTTACTAATTGCTCAGGGAAGTTCAGCTTTAAGCCCATTTTATCCACTACTTTAATTAACCTATGAGATATAAAGAAAATATTATCAAAACATCTCAAAAAGGGCAACAATAGCAACACTGACATATAGTTTTGATTAAACAAAATCATCTCTTTGCTTTGAGAGATTAGTTTTTAGCCACATACTGTATAGCACTGAAATAGCAGGAAGGTGGGGGCGGAGGAGATGTGATTGGGGGCTGAGGAGATGTGATTAGGGGGGCTGTGGTGATGTGATTAGGGGGGCTGTGGTGATGTGATTGGGGAGGCTGAGGAGATGTGATTGGAGGCCTGAGGAGATCTGATTGGAGAATGGGGGCTGCAGAGATGTGATTGGCTGGCTGAGGAGATGTGATTGGAGAAGTGGAAGGGGGGGGCTGCAGAAATTTGATTGGAGAATAGGGGGGCTGCGGAGATGTGATTGGAGAAGGAGGGGTTGTGGAGATGTGATTGGAGAAGGGGGGCTGCGGAGATGTGATTGGAGAAGGGGGGACTGAGGACATGTGATTGGAGAAGGGGGGACTGAGGACATGTGATTGGAGAAGGGGGTCTTTAGATATGTGATTGGAGAAGGAGGGGCGGCTGCAGAGATGGGAAGGGACCATGATTTGAGAGGGCTGGGGAAAGGTGATGGGAGGTGCTGGAAATATGTGATGGAAGGGGTGCTGGAGTTGGGGGAGAGGTGCAGGGGGGACCGTGGTGATTGGAGAGTCCAGGGGGCATATGAAGATAGTGGAAAGAACAGGGGGCATTAGAGAGATGGGGGAGAAAACAGGCATATCTCCTAAACCTACAGGGGTAGGTTATCATTAAAATAATTATTATTTGTAGCCTAATGTTGTATAAAGTACTGTTGCAGCAATGCACAATGGCACCCTCTATAGAGGACTACAAATCTCAGCAGTACTTTATACAGAAATGCCATTGTTATATAAAGTATTGCTGGGATGTGTAGTTCTCTATAGCCAGTGCCATTCTGCATTGCTGTAAATATTAGGGATGCACCGATATATCGGACGCCAAAACATATCGGCCGAAAATGGCACTTTTGGCTAAATGCCGAAAGTGCAATTTTTCTGCCGATACAGCGGCCCAACCCTGCTTTCTTTCCACCCCTCTGGGCGCTGCTCTGTGTCCCAGCGGGGTGGAGAGAAAGTGTGACAGCTGGCGGAGTGCTGTGGGTTTTTTTTGGGGGGGCCCAAAAAAAAATCTTGCACCAGGGCCCTTTGTTCCTTAGGTCCGCCACTGGTCAGGAATATCCAACCCTTAGCTCATCAGGCTCCTAAGCTATCACTTTTGGGTTTACTGACCCTTCAATTATTAATCAATATAATAACTCAAAATAATTCTACTTCTCAGGGTAAATAAGGCTGTATTTAATCCTGCAGGAAGTCCTGAGCATTGTTGTCATGTGTAACTAAACTTCTCAGAATCCTGATGCATACCTCCTCATTTTTGAAGATTTTACCTAAGTGATATTTGTATGTAATGTTGCAGCAGAACAACGTCATAACAATTTAGATTTTTTTTTTTAAATAGACTGTATGGGATTAATAGGCCTATAAAATCCAGAAGTATATTGACAATCCCTCTTTAGTTTGATACATTGCAAAAAGATAGCCTCTGTACTCATTCAGAAGTAAACTGAGCCGTAACACTTTCAAGTGATATATGACTCCTGAAGGTAATTCTGCAATGCCTGACAGGGGCACATTTGTCATGTGGAAGAGTGGGCTGGCTGCATCATGCAGTGTACTTATTGGCTGGTGGCTCAGCTGGGTAAAAATTGTATGCATGTGATCCTACTAGGTTATGAATTGTTGTCAAAGGAGAAGTGCAAGGAGAGTAAAACATACTCAACCCGATAGTTAGAGCTGGTGTGGGACACTGCAGTTGTCACATGCTGGCTCTAACACCAAGAGCTAACCAATCATGTAACCGCCATTCAGTGAGCTCTCAGTCTCTCCCCCCAGAGGAAAGCAGCAAATGTCAGTTATTGCCTCCTGGAGGGATACTCCCCTCTCTGTTCCTCCATCATTGGAGCTATAAACAGGGGAGGGGGGCATGGTTGGCTCTAGCTCTCAGCTGTGCGCAGAGGGGCAGGGCCAGCTGTCAGTTAGGCAACCGGGGTGGATCTCGACAATATTATTGGGATCCTTCTGGACTGTGATGCGGCTCCTGTGGACAAAAAAGTTTGGCTCTACTTCTATTTGAACTCTTGGTGACTCAAGTGAGTATTAACAGAGCTCATGAGCCCATCCCCCACTCAGCAGACCTGAGATACCAGGAAAGACCTTCAGAAAGTGAAATCTCTTTCAAGTGCAGCAGGGTTGCAGAGAGTCTGCTGATTGGGGGTTGTAGCAAGCCCCGTTTATTATCACAAATAATCACCACTGTACCAGTTTTATGTGTTAATGTTAGTTTCGGGTAGATGAAACATCTAAGGTCTTTCAGCATGGTGTAGACAGACCTTGGGCAACAAGTCATTGTCTCATAAATACGTTTTTGGTTATACTGTTTGTCATTGTTTCCATGTAATATAAAACAACAGATTGCATCATGAAGAAAATCCAAGGTTTTTTTGCATGATGTAATCTATTATTTTATATTTCATGGACATTTACCCATAAAAAAGTATTTAGAAGATGGTATAATGTTGTAGGGTCTATGCCCACTAACTAGCCCAGTGTTTTCCAAAATAGTCTAGGTGGTATATAATTTGGCATCCTTTTAGATTGATATAATCATGTGTTAAAATCATAGTTTTTACAATAACATAACAATCACAATAATGATTTCAGGCCACTCATGCTAGGTGGTATATAATTTACTATGCACTTATCCTACCTTCAATCCAGAAGAAGACTCAACACCGAATGATGTTTCAGTGAAATAGCTGGCATTGACTTTAGTCACTGCTAATGCCAAGTATTGATAGGTCACATTTACTGACTTCCCATGGACGTTCAGCTTCAAGCCCATTTTATTCAATACTTTTTTTAGTTGTGTTGATAATACGTTTATTTGTGCTCCTGTATCATTGTAAAGGCAACAAAATTGTGTTCCTCAAAAACTGTTTTGGGACCACTGAATTAACCAGTAAGGGAAGCTGGAATAAATACCTTTTGGAGACACTTGCAATAAGATCCTGAGATGTATTTAAAAGAGTGTTCAAGATTCCAACCATCTCTTCTGCAACTGTAACATTTACTTCTCCAGTTAATAAGTCTTCTAAATATGACACCTTCCTGTCTACAAGAGACAAATTCATATTACTGGAAGCCGGGAGATTGTTCGGCCTATTAACCTCTTTTATGGAAGAAAAGTATTTGAAAAGCTATAAAGTCACATTGAAACTATTTACTGTAAAAATTGACCCGACAAAATTGAAGTAATGATACTGGCAAAATTGCATAATGCGCATATGCAGAAGTACAGAATTTTCCATAGCAAGCGTGTAAACACAATTGGTTCCAGTTATAAATACCTGTACATACACTGCCATATACTTATGAGCTCTCTCTTTTGTCATTCCTTAGTCCCCACAATCAGAATATAAGGGCACATAATCAGCATTATTTGGGTGTTTTATACACACTGTACACTGACTGCTATGTAACTGACCTGTCACTGAGCGTATGCTTCAGCTTCAGAGCAGGCCAGTCTGGATTGCTGGATATGGCATATACCCACATAGCCAATTATCTTCACAGCAATTTCTCCCCGCTTTTCTGCATTTTAGTAAATCAGGACCAGAGTGGGCCAAATTTCAGCTCAGAAAAATCTTGTCACCATCCTTATAAAGCATGACAGAGGTGGATTCTTCACTGTATGGGCATTACTTTATAAACTGTTTGGTAGGTTAAAAAAACTGTCATGTTTTGACAAGACACTGCTTATCATTCGCAAGTTTTGAGAAAGACAAGCAATTCCTTTTTGAAACGTCGACCAGCCCAATAAATGTATCCATGTTGACTCATCAGGAGACCTGTGAGTGCCTCTTCTCCTTCACTGTCTTTATCTAATTGCCTTGAGTGCACCCAGCAGCTCTTTAATCTTAAGTGAGTGCGGTGCCCTAGACAATAGGCTGCTAACTGAGTTGATCTGACAATTGCACATGGCATACTATTTCTGCAGGTGGCAGTATACACAGTAAAGCAAAATATTTATGAATTACCTTTTAAAATTATTCTATTTATTACATGTCTAATAATTAAAGTCTTCTGAAATGAATTTAGTATTTCTACTCAAGTCAATTAGATACCATTTGCAAAAGAAACAATAGTACTGTTGGTTCTTTTTTAACTCATGTATTTGTGATGTTAGAATACCTTCATAGAAAATATGAATCTTTACCTATAACAGCTGATTGATTTGAAGTGCTGGATGAAGTGCTGAATTCAGGAAAAGTTGTATCAAGGGTGATGAAATCAGTCCTTCTGTGAGAAGTACTAGACTCACTACTGTGAGATGTTGTAGGCATTCTTTTAACTGTTGTGCTCGATTTTCTGCTAAATGATATAGTAGATCCACTGTTTATAGTTGTTTTAGAGCTGCTGCTGTTAATGATTAAAGAGGTTCCACTATTAATCATTGTATTAGAATCAGTAGAGGTCAGTGAATGAGATTCAGTTTGCCATGTGGTGTTAGTTAAATTTTTAATAGCTGAAATAGGTTGACTGTTAACAGTTGTAACTGTCAAATTATTAAAGGTTGTACCGGATCCATTATTAATGCCATTAAAGGTTGTACCGGATCCATTGTTAAAGTCAGAGGTTGTACTGAATCCACCGGTAATGTCATTATAGTTTGTACTGGATCCATTGTTAATGTCAGAGGTTGTAATTAATCCATTGGTAATGTCTTTAGACGTTGTACTGGATCCATTGTTAATGTAAGAGGTTGTACTGAATCCATTGGTAATGTCTTTAGAGGTTGTACCAGATCCATTATTAATGCCATTAAAGATTGTACTGGATCTATTGTTAATGTCAGAGGTTGTACTAAATCCACTGGTAATGCCACTATAGTTTGTACCGGATCCATTGTTAATGTCAGAGGTTGTAATTAATCCATTGATAATGCCATTAAAGGTTGTACCAGATCCATTGTTAATGTCTGAGGTTGTAATGAATCCATTGGTAATGTCTTTAGAGGTTGTACCGGATCCATTGTTAATGTCAGAGGTTGTAAGAAATCTATTGGTAATGTCTTTAGAGGTTGTACCGGATCCATTGTTAATGTCAGAGGTTGTAATGAATCTATTGGTAATGTCTTTAGAGGTTGTACCGGATCCATTGTTAATGTCAGAGGTTGTACTGAATCCATTGGTAATGCCATTAAAGGTTGTACTGGATCCATTGTTAATGTCAGAGGTTGTACTGAATCCACTGGTAATGTCACTATAGTTTGTACCGGATCCATTGTTAATGTTTTTATTACTGGTGAAAATGCTGTTACTGTAGCTGGTAGTTTGTCCTTTGGTGATCCCAGTGCTGCTTCCTTCACACGTTAGTGTGTGATTTTTAAAACTGAGAAAAGACAGAATATACAACTTAGATCAACCACAATAAGCAAAAAGAATGCATGTTTAATTAGATTACTCCCCTGTAATAAGCCTCAGGGGTTTATAAATGGGGTTGCCCATAGTCCTTTAGGGTATGGGAACCAAATTATGAGGGTGCAACAATTGATTTCTCAATAATTTAAAATATATTCTGACGTAAAATGTAATATTTTCAGTAACATTACGTTAATTCTATGTTTTATTTCTACAAAAACAGCAGCAAAAATCTTACTAGTTATACCTAGCTTGAGTATTTGTGATTTACCATTTGTATTCAAATAAATATGATCAAATCCTTATACTTTTCTTTCAGTTGTTTTTTTCCAGGTTTTCCATATGTAAACTAAAATCTAATTATTAATATCTTTTGACCATACTGGTACCTAATTGGACAAATTATGTTGATGATTTCAACAGGTATGGGGACATACTGGGCAATACAGTGGTATTGTGTAATTGTTAAGGGGAAAAAGTACCCCTGCGCTACCATTTTTTCTTTGCTGTTTGTTACATTGTTAGAGAAAATTATTGTCAGCATCACCCATATGCATGGTGGTAGTCTGACTTTTATTGTTGTATATGTTTACCAGGGTAGCATGATGATTTCATGACTGCTGCAGTGCTCAGTCCTGGGCACTGCTTGCACATTGAGGTAGTTTTTTTATTTACATGTTTGAGTTCGATTTTTTTTCAGCCCAAAGCATACTGGTAATACTGTTTTGTTACTTTCTGAATTGTCTCTTGAGTGGCATAAAGCAGGGCTATTATTGTGTAAAGTTTAATGGAATAGAAATACAATATATCTCTAGCCAAAACTTTTTTTTCCCCTTTAAATAATGAAAGAATTGGTTGTAAGTCTTATTGGTTTTTTAAACATTTTATCAATTCATGTCCTAGAAGCATACGAGAAAATTCGTACAAATCTTCCCAAATTGAGGGGACATTCCTTGTTGAAAAATTGTTGCCAGAGATGGTGTCTTCATTGGAAGCCTCCGCTCAATGTACAATGGACTCCCCCTTGTGCATCGGTATCACAATGCACTTTTTTTTAACATTTCCTGTTCCTGTTATATTGTGACAGAATGTTAACAGAGAATTCTGCTTGGATATCTCCTATATAAAGTGTAGATGTAAAAAGATGAGAGCCAGGAAATACTGAAAAAGTATTTGATGGAATTGATGGACCAGGGGCACAGTGATGTCAGATTTATACCCCGGAGTCTTTACACATTTCTCCTACCTGTCTAAAATTCTTCCTTAAAGGAGAACTATGGGGTCAGTGTTTTTCCCCATAGTTCTCCTTAGGGTAACGGGAGGACACAAACTAGCGTCCTCCCGTTACCCTAAGCTCAGTATACCGCGAGCTACAGCTCACGGTAAACAGAGACGCCGCAGCCGGAGCGGATCCCTACATGGACATCGGGATCCGCCCAGCTGCGTGAGGGACAGCTGGCTCTGCCTATCTAGAGGCAGAGCCAGCTGTACCCGCCCCCTCCCCCGTCCGTTCCGCCAGTCAGCGCTGGCAGATCGGAGCGGGGAGAGGGGAATCCAGCCCCTCCCCCTGTCACGGCAGAGAGCCGTGACAGGATCGAAAGGTGAGCGAACCCGGTATGTGTTCGCTCACCTCCCGATCTACTGAGCAGACTGTGACAGTGTCATTGTCACAGGTCGGCTAGAACTATGAGGTGAGTGGAAATCACTCATCTCATAGTTCTCCTTTAAGTGGTAATGGAAAATATGGAAGCACGGTTATTTATACCGTGTTCGCTATGGATGAAAGCAGAGATTATGGATTAAAGTAAAATAGCTTTTTGGCTAAATCAGGGGTGAAAATACTTTTCAAAAGCAGTTATTTTTTTATCACAGACTATAACATAGTAAATCTACTGAAAAACACATTTATACACAATCTAAAAAGTAAAAATGTTAAAGGGAACCTGGAGCAATAATAAAGAAAAGAAGTAAACACTTATAATATATTGGCTACCTCCAGGAGTCTGCATGCTTAATCAGTTTCTTGCAGACTACCACAGCTCCCCTGAAACCTGGGGTCCAAATAATGGCCATCTTTTCTGGTAAAGAGCATGTTCCATCCCCTCCCGCCACTTGTGCTTCATTATTATCCAAGCACCATGATCTGATGAGTTGCCTTTATGATGAAAGTTGAGGTGTGGGATGCATATAAAAGCAGGACCAGGTTCTGAACCATTAAGACTGATTTTTTTTTTTTTAACAGATAAAAGCTGTGTGATTTTTTTTACATACCAGAACATCACAGAATATGGGAAATCCAAAAAAAGGAAATTGAACTAGGAATGCAAGTACACGGAGCTGCTAAATGCTATGTAATTGTTAGGGTTTTTTTGTTGAGTTTTACTATGCTATAGTTTATATAGTTTATAGTTTATATAACTTCTTTACACTTATAGGTTATTACCTGTTTAAAAATGTGGCATACACAGGAGTTGTATTGAGTAAATGACACATGTTTAGGATACTCTAATGGTACCGACTGACATTATCTGCATTAGGAAAAAGTAATCAGGCTGTCATTGTTTATCCCTTCTGAAAATGCTAGTTACCTGGCTACCCTGGTGATTAAACAGCTATAATGAGATCTGTGAGCCACTGAACCAGAGCAAGTTTGCAGAAGGAAGTCACCCATGACAAATATTTATTTCACTACGTTTCATCACTTAGGGGTCTATTCACGAAGGTGCCGAAGAATCTAGCTGTAGCTTCGGCTAATCCTTCGGCTAGCTTCGGCCCCAGGACCCCTTCGGTTCAGTAGAACCGAAGGGCTGCTGTACGGGCTATTCACTATAGCCCGTACAGCTCCCAAAGTAGGCCGAGCGGCTCAGTCGAGCCAAAGGCATATGCGACAGCCTGCTTCTGACAGCTCGGTGGAGCCAGCCGTGATCTTACCAGGTAACCAGGGACACTGATCTTCAGACAGCCCAACTCTCCCGTGCGCTCCGCGAGTCTCCCGCTATTAGCAGTCAATCAGCAGAGGGGACCTGCAGTTCTCCATCAGGTTTCCTCTAGTGATTGACGGCAGCAGAGGGCGGGTGCAATAGCTAGTTTGCTATTGGCTATTGCAAATTGAAATAGCCAATAGGAATCTAGCAATGCATTCCTATGGTGAAAATGTTTTAATTTATTTTTTGACGGCAGCAGAACCGCCCGCCAATAGATAGACAGTTGGGCAGAGGTAGCTGCCACTGCTAGCTCCGCACAATCGTTTTCTATTGTTTTTTTTCTACTTTTTAAAATATTTTTCTGTTCTGCTCGGTCCCACAGAGGGACCAAGCAGAACAGCCAACCCGAATGCTGCTCAGCGGCATTCGGCTGTATACTCACTGCTGTTTGGAATCTATAAGAATAGACCGAACAGCAGCGAGTAGCCTGCCGGAGGTTCGGCTTAGCCGATCCAGATGTTGGATTGGCTGAGTCGAACTCCTTCTGCACTTCGCATGTTCCCAGCATGTTCGGACGATCCAAAGCCACGTGAAGCCATCCGATGTACGGCTGATTTCAGCTGATATACGGCTAGAATCAGCCGTACCAGCCTGACATGAATAGGCGAACAGCGTTCGGCTCACTTCGCTTCAGGTCAGTCGTTCACTCGGCTGCCTGCGGCAGCTTAGTGAATAGACCCCTTAGTTGGGACTTGTTCAATCTTACCTTGTATATGCAAGTTTGAAAAGTATCTTACAAAGCATGTAACTAGCCTTGAGATTGTTAAAAGTATGTTTGCCTACAGCCTTCAATCTCATTACGATTTGTATTCAGAACAGTCTCCAGTCCGATTAAGATCTGTATTCAGAACTGCCAGGCAGGAGGGAGGGTTTCAGGATCAATGCATGTCAAATGCTTGAAAATCCTTAATGAAACTCATTCAAATTGGTTTCCACAAGCCGAGATTAAAGAGAACCGGTACAAATTTCTTACCGCTTCCTGAAAATGCCACCTGACAGTCTCTAGGGACACTGACCCATAACAAAAATGCCGATTAAAAAGAGTAAAAGCATGTTTTCAGAATCTGAATATGCATAGTTAGTTAAAGTCAGGGATTTAGGAAGCACCAAAACCATTGGACTAACATGACAGCTAGGGAAGCAGTATTTTTAGGGGGAGAGGTAAGCAGCAGGAGATCCTTTCTCTTTGCAAGTTTCCTTTACACAGTGCCCATGTGTATGAGTCCTTATATCAGGGCATCTAATGCAGAAATGGGTTGCTGCAGAAGAACTCTTTGAAGTTACCCAAATATCTGTGAGGATTAATTGGTAGTTGCAAGGCTTGTTCAGTTTCACTAAACAATGTATTTGATAAGTTTCACCCACTTGATCAGATTCACTAAGATTAAGAATTTGCAGTCAAAAGTATATGTACACCTATGCTTCCCTGTGAATAATGTAAACCCTAAAAAAAAAAATAAGTATTTTATTCTAGTTTTACAAAGCTTTTTTTTTTTTTTTTTTAAAGCTTTGCAATTTGCACAGAAAGCAATCCAGAAAAGCTTTGTGGGACTCACCAGTTTGACTGCCTGCACTCCTCATCACAGCAGCAGTAATCTAAAAATGAAACATTTAAATTAACACTTTGTAGCATGGTCATGCATTACAAAAATTCTAAACCCATAACGTTGTTTAGGATTATTTGGTACAAGGTGAAGACTCAGCAAGGTGTATTCCATAGCAATCATATTTCTTTCCCATCATCAGATTATTGCAAACCAAAATCTGATTGGTTGCTATAGGCCATTGTGCACTGTACTGCACTTTGCATCTTATCAAATAGGCCAATGCTTTTAATGCTATTCTACCTGTGCCTGTGCCTCAAAATTAACTGGCTTTTAAGGCTAAACTCCAGCCATACCTTATTTTCCCACACTTGTAGCGAGTCCTCTGCTGGGGTAAAACTCTCAATTCCCTGTAAACTTGCATCTCCACAATCTAACCCTTTGAACCTTCAGAAGCTACCTTGAAACACAAGTTTCACAGTGTGTGAATGGCCTCAATATTTTATCAAACACTCCTACCACTGATCCATACGTTGTTGCCCCCTCCTATATCTTTAGCCTGTTAACTTGCTTCTTGTGTTCTTGTACCTATAAGCCACATAATATGTAAAGCTGTCAGAATATTTAACAGCTCTCAGAGAAGAAAAGGAATACTTACCAATGGTATTGTTTGCTTCCATGGATAGATTGTATTGTGGAAATAAGCTCTCTACTTTACATATGATATTTCGGTCATTGATTAGTATCCTGCACCTATTTGGGCTAGAAAACAAAGCAAGATAATCAATTTTTAAATAAGATAATATATCAAAATAAATATGTTAGCTTGAGAAGAATTAAAAAGAAAACAAATAATATTGTTACATGCTGAACTTTTCTGACATATCTCAAATCACTGTTTACGTTATGTTCTATGTGTGGACAATTTTCTTTTTTCATTCACAACATTCCTCCCTACATCACTTGTTCATGAATGTAGCAGCACAGTGGCTCAGTGGTTAGTTCACCTGCCTTCTAGCGCTGAGATCCCTGGTTTGAATCCCAACCAAGACACTATTTGCTTAGAGTTTTGCATGTTCTCCTTGCACTTGTGTGGGTTTTACTCCTATGCTCCAAATATATGCTGGTAGGTTAATCAGTTCCTGTCTAAGGCTGGGTTCCCACCTAGGCGGTCGAAATATGCGCGTATGATGCGCGTTTCGGGACGCGCGTTTTTACCGTGATTTGCGGTCCACGAAACGCGTGTTTACGAGGGCTATCCGGCTGTATCCTAATGGATACGCCCGGAAATATGCCCCAAAGAAGCTCCTGTACTTTGGGCGTTTTTCAGCGCGAATACGCCCAGGTGGGAACCATACCCATAGGAAATAATGGGATTTCACTTGCTGGGTGTTTTACAGCCCGGCCTAAACTGGTCTTAGTATGTGTATGTATGCAGTGAGAAAGGGATCATTGTTTGTAAGTTCCTAGAGACTAATATGAATGTATAAAGCTACAAGACCTGTAATCAATAAGCTGTGGAATACATGGGGCCGCAGCACATGCACAGTAGGAAGAGGACCTGGCCAGAACTGTAAGTAAAATGATGCTACGGTTTTTTATTTAGGTGTGGTGGTGTGGTGGTAAACATCTCAGAAGGACACCGATCACTCCACTCTAAGGCTTCGTTCACACCTAGACATGAGTGCTTTTGCGCATATTAGCACACGTTTTCGTCCAGTGTGTTTAGCCTGTTTTTGTGCGTTTTGCACATTTTTGCGCGTGACGACGCGTTTTAACAGGCAGATTGAAAGACATTGCGGTCAATGGACAAAAGATGGCACAGAAATGTGCAAAACACTTGTGTGGTGCGTTTCGATTGAGCGTTAAGCATTTTACAACTTCCGGCAAAACCCTCAGGTGTGAACAGGGGCCATTGAAATGAATGGGATTTTTTGTGTTGATTGTTGTTGATATGGTATCCGTAGTATATAACTTATTGGTAACTGAGAAAGTGGTGTAATATGTCTGGCTGCATTATGTGCCACAGTCTACTAACCTACAGCAGAACCAACTAGGAAAGTAGCATCTTTCCCAGGGACCCTGGTGCAGAGGTTGGTTTCTGCCTACTCAGCAATGAGAGTCTTCTTTTTCCCTCCAGCTGCCATTATCTAAAAACAGAGATGCATGTTGTCTATTACCCACTGCATCCTGGAATACACATCGCACATTGCAGGACGCTTCAGGACAGTCTTCCCCAGTCAGCAGATCTTACACATGCACAGTAGGGGGGCAGCTATGAGTTATCAGGAAGTGATAGCTGGTTTCTGAATTCTTTGGGGCACCTAGGTGACATTAAGGGTCTGGAAGACCCCTGATGTCTTCATAAAGAGGACCTGTCACATCCTATTTGCTATTACATAAGGGGCTTATTGCCCCCTATGTGATAGCAATAAAGTTGAGTGTAAAAAATAAAAAAATGAAAGTACATTTTATTTTAAATCCCCCTCCCCGTGCAAAAAAGGAAAATGATGTCACACATGTAGCATATCGCCACAAACATCTG